TTTGAGCTGAAGTCGGTTTCAAATCTTACAGTAGTTTTTTCTTTTTTCTGTTGTTTATGATGTGTGTTTTGTTTCCCCCAAGCAGGGTGGTCATCATTCGAATATAACATGTCTAAGACTCGCTTGCTGCTAAAACCGTCACGTGACGTCCCTCTCGAGATCTTCAGACATGGATGTTCAGACCTGGAGAGAAGCCTCATGGCTTCTCCCATAGAAACCCAATGTCATTCCAACCCCCCCAAAAAACAAACTGAACCCTCTACCATCCTCTACCTGATACCCAACCAGCCACCAACGTATCATACGTCCAAAACCCTTTCCAGTGATCTTCTCCAGGCTGCGCCAGGAAGTGCTCAACCCCTTGGCCAAAGGGATCGACTTGGAGATCTCGAAACCTGGCGATCGGTCCCGACGGTTCTCCCCGGTCTCCCCACGCACGCTTTCTCCCCGCATCTCCACCGCATCTCCTCCGCCGCAGGGGGGCGGACCTCCCGGAACGCCGGTGGATCCACGTCGACGTTCGGAGGGACGGGGAAGAAGAAGCGACAGCGTGAAACCCCACCGAGCAACGACGAGGATCCCATGGTCCCATGGTGGTTCTGCTATGTTCTGCTGTTCTGCGTGGTGTGCTGAAGGGGGCAAGATGCCCTCTTCTGAAGGGCAGAAAACATGGAAGCAAGGGGAGTCACACCAGAACAACGTGACTTGTGCGCCCTACAAGTAGGTAGAGGCCTTTCTTCCACGTCCATGAAACACCGGGAGGTGGTCTTGTGGTCTCAAAGGAAACTTAGAGTACCCAATGAAACGTGGCTCAATGAAGTGTTCAGTTGCGGGATCAGGACTCTTCTGCGATGGAAAAACGGGTGCTGCACGATTTCGACTTATGATGTACGCTCTCAGGGGTTCCTAGATGGATTCGTTTCTGGCATTGAGAATGGGCGGCGTACTACAAGCCAACCAAAACGGAGGATGTCCACAAAATTCGGATTGCTTGCTCGCGCGCGCATCGGTCTGTCCTAGATCTCCCCAGTGTTAAACAATGGGTGAACACGAACGCGCACTCTCTCCAAATAAAATGGTTCCAAGTTAGAGGTCTGAGACCCTGTGTGCCACCCAGTCTTCACCCAGTCTTCGAGTCACAAGGGCCAGATCTGCCGCTTGCACCAGTCATACTGTAGGCCGCTTCGCCGCAATTGCTCGACGAAGAGCATGTCGGCGAACACCAAGGTAATGGCCTCACTGAGCATGCCTTGGGGCGGCGAGGGTAGCGAGGCACTGCCAGACTCCCTGGACAGCCATCATCTTAGGCAAGAAGGGGATAGGTTATGAGTAAAGATAGCACACAAAAGCAATCTTGACACGATTTTATTCGCAAATATCACTATACTATATAGCATTCTTAGGAAGTTAGATGCATCCTCGCAATTATGACAATCAGTTTCGAGAGCGATGATTGGAGGAGCCCATCAGGGCCCGCGTTTCAGGGTGTCTAATCGTAGCCCCTTACAGGTTCGGGATATCCATAAGCCACGCCCCGGTACATGTGTTTACTGTATGGAAATTGGGGGTGCCTTCCCTTCGGACCTCAAATTAGGCACGCCTCGAGAGCCTTTTCTTTCTGGAGCAGAAACATGAACACAAGAAACCTGGAAAACAACAAAAAAACACAATGCTTTGGGGTTGCTTAGGAATCTTAGGACATCCATGCCTCCTTCCGGGAAATGAATCAAATCCGTCTGGCCATGTCCGGCGATCCAAACTCCGCGCACGTCCAACAAGTCTCACATTCAGATTCCCGTAAATCATGACCCCTGCGTTAGATAGGGCCCTGGGGGGGGGCGCCCCTGGCACATACCTGATTTTTGGAAATTAAATGAATGGTGTTTTCTTTACATATCCCCTAACTCATCGACACCTGACAAACCTCTTAATTAGTTTCCACTCCCCAGCTGGAAAGCCCCCCCATCCACAGCCACGCCAACGTAATACGTGAGCAGCGCTCGAAAACCCGGGGCGAAAGTGGCCACCGCATGCACACCGAGCAGGAAAGCAGCCATCACGCTCAAAACCAGGCAACAAAACAATAATTCAGGGGGGTTGGCCTCTGGAGGAGGGGTCGACTGATTTAGGTGGGTAGCTTGATCCAAGGTACACGGGGAACGTGCAAATTAAGATGATTTATCATGGTTTATCCGAGTCAAAATTGTCGATAAATTGTTGGATAATGTTGGATAGAAAAACCTTTGATTGCGAACATTTCATTCGTGGGTAACCCCTCTCCAATTAATCTTTTAGTGGAGGGGTCATCTTAAATCTGTCCCATCCTCCCCTTGTTCTGTGGGCGCTTGGGTAGATCGCGTGGTCTTCGCGTGGTGTTTTGTGGCGTTCCCCTCGCACCCTCAAAGCAACCTCTCCAATGGTCTTCCGTGTGGTCTTCGCATCACCGGAGAGGCAGGTATTGGCCTCTCCCGGACGCTGACGCGGACGCGTTTGGGCAGTCGTAGACATCCACCCAGGTGCGGTAGATGATGTACAGCCGCCGCCCCAGGGGCGAATCGTGGCCTCTTCGGGAGTCGACAAAGGTTCATGTAAAACACATAGGTCGTGGCCCTGGTTTGGCTCATTTTGGCTGCTTGAGAACATGGCGAAACTCCCGCATTTTTGGATAAGTAACTATTTTAGGATATGTCGGCCATTTGGGAGCATCATTTCACGCAGTCAGACATTGGAGCTCCTGAAGTGTGCCTCATAAAATGATTAAGCTGAGGTTAAGTGGACATCAATTCATTTGTATATTCCGCACGTCTTTGGCACCCGTGGCTACATTCGCAGCCGCAACATTCTCGCCGTTGCAGGGCTTCCCGGCCTTCAACATCCAACCCCATCGAAGGATCGAACAGGTGGAGAACCTTTAACTTGAAACATGTGCATATCCCTATAGGGCTCCAACCACCTCCGTTTCGAAGGTGGTTGGGGTGGGTTTTTGGGGTCTAACCACCGAACCTGAGGATATGGGCCAGGAGCCCTAGGGTATATACGTGACATCGGCGGGCAGCTTGGTTGTGGCATGGGGATACTGAGTTGGCATTGAAATTCACGGCTTGGATGATCCTCCTCATTCCTTCAAAACACCACGAGGTGCCCGAAACAAGTCCTGAGAAACACCCTGAATCTCGAACCTCATGATGTATCCCTCATCCTCAATTACATACGCAAAAAAAATGAACCAAAGTAACCTGACAACCTGGACCCTCCTGTCCCTGTTTCTTGGTCAGAAGTGCCTGGTTTTGGCCTTCAGTCCGTTGATCGCTCCCATCCCTCGCGCCGATCCCACCCACGCCCCACTCCCCTCGTCCGTTGACGAACGACCCTCCGGTGGAAACACCTGTGAAGATCAGGTCGGGCAATAAGAAATGGGCCAGGTCGTGCGCTTGAAACGTGACCTGGCGTCGGCGTCATGGTCTGCTGTACTGTTGAGCACCACCGGAAGCCGCGGATGCGTTGGTTCTGCGACACGCCTTCCGCAAGATGCACACCGCCGAGCACGCCACGCACGGTGTCTTCGCTTCGGGAGGCCCGGACCAGAAATAGAAGCAAATGATGCCAGGCCGCCAGGCCGGATTGGTTGGGCACAAAAGTGAAGAACACCGAAAAATGCTGCAAAGTTGACCTCCCTGTCGGTGTTTTGATCGGATCGCTCGCATCCCGTTGAGACCTCCGGCCATCCGGCGTGGGGATACCGCATTCTTCACGGACGGCGGGCGGGCCAAACCGCCAGTCCCCGGGCCTCATGAATGGCATCATCCTTGGGGACCAAGGGGATCCCTGCGTTGAGGCCAGGCAACCAGTAGATGAACTCCCTCCTCCGGCAGAATTGGGACAAGAACGGTGAGGAACAGGAGAGTCGTGAAGAATCAAGGGTTAATCATACGTTAATCAAACTGGTGTATAGGGAGATTGCACAATTCCCAATTAGAATGGACCCCCATCCAGGGATGTTTAGGGGATTGTGGTATCTACTCTGAAACCACTGTAAACTAAGTTCAAGTTAACTCACTTTCAGGAACCTGGTACATGAGCAGCTGCCTTTGACGGTCTTTGTCGATACATCAATGTAGAGGCAGCTTCCATTGACAAGTGTTCACAAATTCTGATTCGTCCCTCCATTGCAAGGTCCAAAATAATCCAACATACTGAAATTGAGCTATATATTATTGAGTTCATACTTTGCTTTATCTGGTGTTCTACAGGATCCAAGGTTGAAAAGTACACGAATTCACGTCCGCTGTGGCCGAGGCGTCTTTTCCTTGTTTGGCCACACCGTCTACTCTGCCGGTGCTCCTGGTGATCGCCGCCCGCAGGAAGAGGCCGCTGTTCAGCACGAAGGTGAAGACATTGGAGAGCCCCGAGCGCTTCACGGGCTCGGAGAACAGGTACTCGTTCCTGCCAGGTGCGTGGGGTTTTTTGGGGGTTTTTGGGGCTTGCCAGGCGTCACTGACAGGATGCCGAGACGTGAAATGGGAAAGAACGTACGGCTGTAATACTCTGCCGTCTGTGTTGCCGGGATCACCACCGCTGCGCATCGCTAGCGCAGGCGTCCCGCGTCACGTTCGGCCGCCTGGTAAAGAAGTCCAGGACCCGGGAGCCATCTCCAAACTCCACCGCGCGCGAGCAAGTCTCCAGGTGGTTGTGACGACACAGTCGCCGGTTCCGGTAATGCACGTGCTCCTGCGCTGCGCGGGTCGACGACGTCGTGGACGGGCCACGTGGGAGCGAGTGACCACCGAACCCATGACGCAACCATCGAGTCTTAGAGCATATAAGGTAAGCTGCTATATATGCTGCTAATATAGTTTCTGGAGGGGCCATTTCAAGAGGAATTGGGAAGACGTGTCTGAGAAAAATAGAAATAAACGTACTGGTTGCTGGAAACGGATTGCATGATGTTCGTTAGTGATGAGAAACCGCAGTCCTGCAAATACTGGGAGATCATCATGTCCCTGGGCGAGACTTTGAAACCCATGAGCTTCTTCTCGTGATAGGACAAACCACCTAGGCAGCCATTTACTGAATGCACAAATTCGGCACTAGACCAAGGATGTTGACAACATTTTGGAAGGGATTCATACATAGAGCCGCACAGTCTTTCGCAGGACATGTCATGACACGGAAATGATTCTACAAATGAAGGGAACATATTATGCAGTTCTCAGTTTCCCAGTCTTGCACTTCCCACCAAGAAGCACCTCCCTGTTAGGCTGTGCTGAGGCGCTGTAGAGATCCACCACCACATCGTCCCAGTTAAAAACACCAGCTCTATCTGTCAAGCCTCAGCAAAGTCAAGGCCATCTTCACACTTCCTGTTCGATGGCCAACTTCATGGGACCAAACTCTAGTTGAACGTGATCGAACCAAAGCGCGCCCCTGAAAACTCTGCTACTGTAGTTCGTGAACGAACAAAAGGTGAACCGAACACCTGCAAACGGTGCTTCACTGACACCGTCTGCAACGAAGGGAACGAACGATGTCTCCGACCCTTTCCGGACGCGGTGTCGACCACAAGGAGTCCGCCACCCCGAACGCCCACGAAAGCCACCACCCCAAAAACGCATGAACACCACAACATATTGTCAAAGACATACCGCGTTCATAAGCGCCGGGCACCAAGTATACTTACTACTAAACTTACTGGTCATGCTATTCGTTTACTACTTACCACTGACTACTTACTACTGACTAACTATAACTACTACTACTACTACTACTACTACTACTACTACTACTACTACTAC